TCCTGTATGTTTCAAAGGCATTTTTTTCCAATCCATATTTGAGAGGTCACTGTTGTATCATTAAGATCTCACTACCAAGTTGCACTAAAGTGGGCTTTGATTCAGACTACAAAATCTTGATTCCCATCCATATCTTTTTTCCAAATTCAGGATAGCATACAAAATTCAAATATGTCAGGGAATGAAGAACACTTGAGAAGTGCTATGCTAGGAATAGTAAAACAACATTCCTGAGATTAACCAGCAGTTAATTACCTTCCCATGTTCAAAGAACTTCATTTGCTGTAGATGAGAGATGAAGTCATACTTCACAGCATTCAGTAATTTGTCATTGGGTATTCTTTTCTGTATTTATTTTTAAAATTTAATTTATTTTTGACTACAGTTGACATTCAATATTATTTTATATTAGTTTCAGGTGTACAGCATAGTGGTTAAACATTTATATAATTACGAAGTGATCACCCAATAAGCTTAGTACCCACCTGGCACCGTACACAGTTACTACAATACTAGAGGCCCGGTGCACGAATTCAAGTACTGGGTGTGTGTGTGTGTGTGTGTGTGTGTGTGTGTGTTGGGGGGAGTCCCTCAGTCTGGCCTGTGCCCTCTTGCAGTCCGGGACCCCTCACTCCTTACCACCCGCCTGCTCACTGCTCCTTAGCGCTGCTCCTTAGAGAGGCTCCCACCACTGTACTCACCAGCAGTGAGCCCGGCTTCTGGTGCTCCCCCTGTGGGAGCAAACTGACCACCAGGGGGCAGCTCCTGAGTTGAGTGTCTGCCCCCTGGTAGTCAGTGCTCATCATAGCAACTGGTCGTTCCGCCTTAACAGTTGCTTAGGCTATTATTATATAGATTATTGACTATAGCTCCTATGTTGTACTTTTTTTGTTGTTAATCCTCACCCAATGATATTTTTCCATTGGTTTTTTTAAAGAGAGTGGACGGAAGGAAGGGAGGGTGAGGGAGGGAGGGAAAGAGAGAAACATCACTGTGAGGGAGACACGTCAATTGGTTTGCCTCCCACAGGCAGGGACCCGTGGTTCAAACCTGCAACCCACGTATGTGCCCTCGACTGAGACTCAAACCCCGACCCTTCAGTGCGAGGGCTGATGCTCTAACCCCTTAGCTACACTGGCCAGGGCCCTATGCTGTACTTTACATCACCATGACTATTCTAATGTGTAATCTACTTAGATATTTTAACCCTAGCTCTCTTAATTTCTAATTAAAGTAGATCTAAAGATGCAGAACCATCTGCCATGAATTTGGTATTCATTGTCAAGAAAGAAAAGTAAAGCACTTATACCTAAATTATAACCAAAATAATCGTTTTTTTTGTTTGATACTATAATGACTAAAACACTGTACTTAGTAATAGAAATGCTGCATCTGTTTTTGCAAAGAAGTATTTTGGAGAGAACCATCTTTAGGGTTAGAACATAGACAATGAAATGCAGACAATGGAGAAGGGGAAATATTGGGATCTTTTTAATATTAGGACCTTAAAGTCTGTATGAACTGTATAGCTGCTTAAAACTTCAAATAATCTCTTGTGTTTCCTAATAGACATTATTTGGAAGCAGTTAATATATTTTCATCCTTCTGTAAGGACCCCACCAAAATTTTGCTCCTGTGTATGTATTTCTATCTAAAATACATTTTCCCATTGATGACGATGAACTCATAGTCAAGTACAAAAGAAGCTTAAATGGAAATCTGAAAGGTTGTTACATGTTCTTAGTCATACACTAGTTAATAGCAGCATAAAGACTATAATGTAATCTCAGTGTAGTGCTTTTTTCAACTCTTAAGAACCAGGATAAGCCTATATTTAGCACTCACACTATAAAAATACACTTGTTTCATATTCTAATCAGTTAAGGGATAGAAAAACATGGAGTGAGTATAAAGAAAAGAAGGAAAGGAACAAAGATACAAACCCCCAAGTTTCTTCAGCTATTCCCTGGTCCCCGTGCCTACCAGAATGAACTCCTAAGCCTCAGTTCTTTGTGAGAACACTTACTTTAGTTCCTGGCATGTAGTGGGTGCTCAATAAACATTAGTTCCTGTCCCAGCCATCTTCCTAACAGCCAATGTCATTTGCTTACCTGACCCCTAATTTAACATCTGCCTGAGGTTGTCCTGCCCTCTCTTTCTTCTCCTTGAGACAGGCTGAAAAATATCTGTACTATCAACAGTTTCCTGTCCCACTTTCAGAATTGGCGATAGGCTATGTATTTCTTGGAGTCCAAACATCATGTCTCAAATACATGATGGGGGTAGAGTGGGGTCTTATTTAGCACCTCTTGGGAAGCAAACATGTTTCTTACATGTGCCAAACCTAGAGAGGAAGTTGTTCACACAAGACTTTTGCCTTTTTAAGAGTCAGCTCTCAGGGATATCTTGGGCAGACAGATTTGAATTGGACAGGTAATAGCTGTGTGACTTTGGGCATATTGCTTGACCTATTCAAGCCTTAGGTATCACCATTAGAAAGTATAAATCATTGCAATCATGTTAAACTTAGGGTAAATGCATCTTGAGGAGAAGTTGACAGTGTGGAGTGGCCTCTGACAAGCAATACCCCATCATATATAATTGTTCTTAGTAAAAAGACACCTTCCACAAACCTCCTTTGACAGATTTAGGACTTAAAAGATTTTGAGAGGCTGAAATGATTGGTAGAATCCAACAAGGTAAATATTTAATGAGAAAAATATAAGTTTATATTGGGTCTGAAAAATTTTTAACTATATAACTATGTTCTAAAGCAGTGATGGCGAACCTATGACATGCGTGTCAGAGGTGACACGCGAACTCATTTTTTTGGTTGATTTTTCTTTGTTAAATGGCATTTAAATATATAAAATAAATATCAAAAATATAAATCTTTGTTTTACTATGGTTGCAAATATCAAAACATTTCTACATGTGACACAGCACCAGAGTTAAGTTAGGGTTTTTCAAAATGCTGACACGCTGAACTCAAAAGGTTCGCCATCACTGTTCTACAGGGACAAAGTTTAACTAGCTTAGGTAAAAAAGAAGCTTATATTTTAGTAAAAAGTTGGCATAGCAAGAGTCAACAGTATGATGTGACCACCAAAAAATGTTGAAACTATCTTAGGCTATATTGCCTTAAAGTATATTTAAAAAAATTTTAATTTAATTTTAATTTCTCAATGACAGTTCACTTTTAACATTTTATTGACTTCAGGTGTACATCATAGTGGCCAGACAATCATACACTTCACAAAGTGTTCCCCCTGATATTTTCAGCACCCACCTGGTAACCACAAAGTCAATGCAACATTGTCTACTGGTATATTCCCTCTGCGATGCTTTACATCCCTGTGATTATTATGTAACTACCAATTTATACTTCTTAATACCTTCACCTCTTTTACCCAGTCCCCCAAACCCCTTCCTCTCTGGCAACGACCAGTCTGCTCTCTGTGATTGTGTTTCAATTTTATTTATTTTGTTTTTTAAATTCCACATATAAGTGAAATCATCTGATATTTGTCTTTCTTGGACTGACTTATTTCACTTAGCATAATACCCTCTAGGTCCATCCATACTGTCTCAAATGGTAAGATTTGAATTTTTTATGGTCGAGTAATATTCCATTGTATATATGTACCACTTCTTCTTTATGCACTCATCTACTGATAGGCACTTGGGTGGTTTCCATATTTTGGCTATTGTAAATAATGCTGCAATGAGCATAGGGGTGCATATATTCTTTCAAATTAGTGTTTTGGGTTTCTTCTGGTAAATCTCCAAAAGTGGAATCGCTTGGTCACAAGGCAGTTCCATTTTTAATTTTGGAAGGAAACTCCATACTATTTTCCCATAGTGGTTGCACCAATCTTCATTCCCATTAACGGTGCACGAGGGTGAGCGTTTCCTTTTCTCCACATACTAGCCAGCACTTGTTGTTTGTGGATCTATTGACGATAGCCATTCTGACAGGTGTGAGATGGTATCTCCGTGTGGTTTTAATTTGATGTTGAGCATCTTTTCATATGTCTGTGGGCGATCTGTATGTCCTCTTTTTTAAAAAAATGTATTTTTATTGATTTCAGAGAGGAAGGAAGAGGGAGAGAGAGACAGAAACATCAATGATGAGAAAGAATCATTGATCAGCTGCCTCCCACATGCCCCACACTGGTGATCGAGCCCTCAACCTGGGCATGTGCCTTGATTGGGAATCAAACCTCCAACTCCTGGTTCATAGGCTGATGCTCAACCACCAGGCTTAACCACTGAGCCATACCAGCCAGTCTGTATGTCCTCTTTAGAGAAGTCCTCTGCCCATTCTTTTTAATCCTCACCTGAGGATATGTTTTTATTGATTTTAGAGAGAGAGGAAAGGAGAGAGAAAGAGAGAGACAGAGAGAGACAGAGAGAGAAACATTGATTAGTTGCCTCCCATACCCACCCTAACTGGGGATTGAAACTGCAACCTAGGTATGTGCCCTGACCAGGAATCAAACCTGAGACCTTTTGGTGTATGGGAGGACGCTCCTATCAACTGAGCCACTTGGCCAGGACTCCACGTGATTTTTAGATAGTACTGGGGCAGTGGGTCCAGATAAATGGCAGTCTTAAAACAATGCCTTTCTTTAGATTGTCTGCTGTAAAACACAGAATTCCAGGGATGGGTGTTTTAATCCTGCCTGTCATTATTGGTGCCCCAAATCATTACATGAAGCTCATGAAGTTACTGATACTCTTATAACTTTTCCTTTGGAGTGGTATTACCTAGACTTACTATACTAAATAAATAACTCTTGCCATATCAGACATTAAAGGCAGATTTAATGTGCCCATATTAAATTACATACTCAGTAACCAAAAAGCTATTACTGTAGCCTGCAAACACTTGATTTGAGGTGGTATCTGAAGTAATATATGGTTGAAGAATGAAAATGATACTTGTAAATATTCATTAATGGGATATATAGTCTCACCTTCCTTTATTTTGTTCATAGATACAACTGGGAATGAACAGGAAAAGACTGAACTTTTTACAGATAACTTTTGTAATGTATGCAGAGTTGTGCTACCGTTTGAATCACAAAGGATTTCACATTATGAGGTAGGTTAAAAAGAAGGCCTAGGAATGGGACTGGAATGGGGAGGGAGGCAATGGGGAAAAGGAGGGACATCTGTAATACTTTAAACAATAAAGATAAATTGAAAAAAAGAATCAGAATAGAGTCTAAAATGGGTTTTTTAATATAGCAGATAAAATTCCTATGTTATATTTTTTTTGATTATGTAGAATAGATGGTATCATTTCCCTTTGATGGATAAGGAGACTAGCTCAGAGAGGGACAGTAATTTACTAGCTTAAATTTGGGGAATTAGAGTTTAAACTCAGTCTCTCTTTTTTTACTACAAAAATGCTTTATTTTCTTCACACCATTCTGTATCTCTTTGTATTCATCAAGCCACTACTATATCCTTTATGTCTTTGTAATAAATTCAAGGAAAACTGTTCATGTAAATCAAGGGATATTATAGAACTCCAGTGTTCCTTTATAGTAAACTAGAAACCCAGTGCACGAATTTGTGCACCAGTGGGGTCTCTTGGCCTGGCCTGTGAGATCAGGCCGAAACTGGCTCTCTGACATCCCCCAAGGAGTCCTGGATTGCGAGAGGGCACAGGCCAGGCCGAGGGACCCCACCAGTGCACTATCGGGGCCAAGGAGGGGCATAGGAGGTTGGCCAGCCAGGGAGGGACCACAGGAGGGCTCCAGGGTGTGTCTGACTAATCTTGCTCAGTCCCCATCAGCCAGACCCCAGCAGCAAGCTAACCTACCAGTTGGAGCGTCTGCCTCCTGGAGGTCAGTGCACTTCATAGGGAGTGGTTGAACCGCCTTAGCATATCATTAGCATATTATGCTTTGATTGGTTGAACAGACGACTGTACACTTAGCATATTAAGCTTTTATTATATAGGATGAAGGCTTTAAAAATAAAATGAACCAGTCTAGCACTTGACTTAGCCACATGTTTTTAGGAATGGAACCATAGAATTCTAGAGCTAAAACATGGAAAGTTTAATGTTCTTTCTCTTTTGGTTTATTGATCAGAAAATTGAGACCCAGAGGGAAAGTGATTCTCCATAGCTAGTGTTGGCATGGCTAAGCTTAAAAATGATTTCTTGTGATTTCATATCCAGTGTTCTTTCATCTGCTATTGCCTTTCATTTCTACATCATGTAATGAGCTATTGGATTTTTTTTTAATTTTTATTTTATTAAATCTTTATTGTTCAGATTATTACATTTGTTCCTCTTTTTCCCCCCATAACTCCTCTCCTTCCAGCTCCCACCCCACCCTCCGCCCTCACTCCCCACCCTCTGTCCTCATCCATAGGTGCACGATTTTTGTCCAGTCTCTTCCCGCATCTTCCACACCCCTTTTCCCCCCAAGAATAGTCAGTCCATTCCCTTTCTATGTCCCTGATTCTATTATAATCACCAGTTCATTCTGTACATCAGGTTATTTATTCACTTGATTCTTAGATTCATTTGTTGATAGATGCATATTTGTTGTTCATAATTTGTATCTTTACCTTTTTCTTCTTCTTCCTCTTCTTAAAGGATACATTTCAGCATTTCATATAATACTGGTTTGGTGGTGATGAACTCCTTTAGCTTTTCCTTATCTGTGAAGCTCTTTATCTGATCTTCAATTCTGAATGATAGCTTTGCTGGGTAAAGTAATCTTGGTTGTAGGTTCTTGCTATTCATCACTTTGAATATTTCTTGCCACTCCCTTCTGGCCTGCAAAGTTTCTGTTGAGAAATCAGCTGACAGTCGTATGGGTATTCCCTTGTAGGTAACTGAGTTTCTTTCTCTTGCTGCTTTTAAGATTCTCTCTTTGTCTTTTGCTCTTGGCATTTTAATTATGATGTGTCTTGGTGTGGTCCTCGTTGGATTCCTTTTGTTTGGGGTTCTCTGTGCTTCCTGGACTTGTAAGTCTATTTCTTTCACCAGGTGGGGGAAGTTTTCTGTCATTATTTCTTCAAATAGGTTTTCAATATCTTGCTCTCTCTCATCTTCTGGTACCCCTATAATTCTGATGTTGGTATGTTTGAAGCTGTCCCAGAGGTTCCTTACACTATCTTCGTATTTTTGGGTTCTTTTTTCATTTTGCTTTTCCAGTTGGGTGTTTCTCGCATCTTCGCATTTCAAATCTTTGACTTGATTCTTGCGCTCCTCTGGTCTGCTGTTGGGAGTCTGTATAATATTCTTTATTTCAGTCAGTGTATGCTTACTTTCTAGATGGTCCTTTATCACACCATCGAGGGTCTCATTAGATTTCCTGTACATCTCATCAAGTTTATCGACAGACTCTAGAAGCCTCTTGAGAGACCTCAAAAGTGTGGTTCTGAACTCAATATCCTCCCTTGATAGTTTTGTCCTGTTTCTTTGTCTCCGCATTTTTTACGCTTTCTTGGTACACCCCCTAGTGGTCTTTGTGCGCAGTCTTGTTGTAGATAAGCCTTGATTGTTGTAGTTAATACTAGAGGGATTTGACCTCCAGGCCAACTGGCTGTGATAATCAGCTGTGTCTGCAGTGGAAGAACTTGTGTCCTCTAGGGAGGTGCTAATCTAGCCTTTGCCTGAGGCTATCTGGCAAATGCCTCTGTGCAGGGCTTGGGTGGGGCGGGTCCCACGGGACCAACAGGGTGGAGGAGGGAGCAGTTATGGCTGCTCTCAGTCCGTCCCCAGGGGCTCTGCCTCTCTGTCCCAGCAACAGCTGCAAACCTCGGAGGGACTGTAGCCAGACAGTTCTGCTTCTCCCATTTGAGCCTGGGTCCCTAGAGACTCGCCCGGATCTGGAGCTCTGAGTCTGAGGCTCCCTCCAGATTGAAACAGACAACCACGCCCTCAGCCACCAGCCCGCGCCACGCGCACTCCGCACCTTAGTATTTTACTTCAGCACTGTGCCTCCTCTGATTCTCGGTTCCTCCTAGTTGTAGAACTTCCACTCAGCCAGCCTTCCTGTGGTTCTGGATGATGTCCGTTCCGTCTTTTAGTTGTATTTTTGAAGTGGTTGTTCGAGGCAGCAAACTCTGGCGTTAACCTATGCCGCCATCTTGGTTTCCTGGATTTTTTTCATATCTGGTATCTGGGTTACTAAAAGTACTAGATACATTTACTTAAAAGAAATAGAATGCCAGCTGTACTTTTTAAAACACCTTATCTCATTTTGCCCGTTGCAAATCTTATTGGCAACTATATTTAAGTCCTTATCTTCTTTGGGATTCAATTAATATAGTTACAGATAGGGGAACTGTTTTGGCTGTGGATTGAAAGGACTTAGGATCAAGTCTTAACTCCGTCATTGTTGTGTAACCCTGAGGAAGTCACTTTACCTCTCTGAGCATGTTTCTTGAACCTGTAAAACGGGGCTGGCAAAATCCCTCTTACTATACTTGTGAGAATTAAATGAAATCAAATATGTGAGTGTACCTAGCTCATTCTCAGACTCCATAGCTCAAAGATTTAGAGTTAGTAAAGAGAAACACACAATCGAGGGCTCTGTGATAATTGTGGTTGGAACCATTTGAATTTAAATTTGAAAAGTAGCTTTTTATGGGCTTATGGAGTGCTGTTCAGTGGGGAAAATATACTAAATATGAGAAAATAAAAATCAATCATAATTATGTTGACCAATGTCACCCCAATAAAATTTAATAAAAATAAAGAAATAATTATATCACTTGCATCATTTAATTTTTCTTTTGCTTACATGATTTCAGTATGCTTTCTGAACACACATGCACACATTTTTGTAAAAGAAAATTGTATATGTTGTGTTGTACTTGTTTTTTCATATGAGATCATATTCTGGACACTTTGTCCTATCATTACACCTTTTTCTTCTTTTATAATATTTTATTGGCTATAAAGCACATAATAATGTAATGGTGTAGCATATTTTAAAATTTAAATTTCAGTGCCATCTGTAAGTGTGGTGCTTAAGCTTATTAAATCGTCAAATCAAAATTGTACATGACTTTCCATGTATTCTGAAAAGGTGATTTTTTTCTGTTTAGTATATAGCTTGGTTAATGCTTTTAAACTATCTCTGTATAGTATTTATTGTAAAATAGAACAGTTCTGCAGGAGTTTTGAATGTTGATGAGGTTGTACTTATACATGTTTAAGAAACTATTCTCTGCACTTTTGTCATATAGATTTCCCCTATATTTTATGGTTCTGTACCAAAATGTTATTGGCTTCTTGAGTTGTAGCATAATTTTCATTTCACTAAGATTTAGAGATTTGAAAGCATGTGAAGCTCTTTTATAAACTTGGTACACACCAAATAAATTATAGCTTACAAATTCTGTCCTCAAATTCAGAGGTATAAATTTAGAATGTCACTGTTATTGAATAAAGTCATATTACATCTTTTTACAGAGTGAAAAACATGCTGAAAATGTTAGGTTTTATTTTCATATGTATGGAAAACAAAATGAAGTGCCTAGTAAAAAAATGAAGATGGATGTTAGAAATTTTCAGGTGAGTGGTCTATGTTGATGTTGTAATTCTAAATTTTGAGTTATTGAATCTTTCTAATAAGATTGTGCTTATTTCAGGTGCATAAGACTGAGGTAATGGACAGAAACAAATTTTGTGATCTCTGCAACATGATTTTTAACTCTCCAGTTGTTGCTCAGTCTCACTATGTGGGGAAAGTCCATACTAAAAAATTGAAGCAATTAATGGAGGAGCATGATCAGGTATCTCCATCAGGATTTCAGGCGAAGATGGGTAAGATTACATTTACTTCTTTAGCTTCAATACAGGATCTCTCTATCATTCCCCCCACCCCCAACTCTGCCATCCATTTCTTTTTCAGAGGAACTTTCACTCCAGGGCAATATATTGATTCTTCTTCTTCTGCCCAGTTAATCTCTTTCTGTGTTCTTATAATTTACTATAGAGATTATAATTGTTAGCTGAATTTTAGAAAATATTATGGCCTCTCCTTTTCAGTTTATTAAATTCAAAAATAGGTGATTTGCTATGCCTGCTATAAAGAAACAATAACCAGCCTGAATTCTTCACTTTCTAATCAAATCATAAAATCTTAGCTTCTTACTTCTTCTCCTTGGCATCTATCTCATCCTTTTTTTTTTAATTTAGTACTTTCCAGAACATCATCTCATGTGTGGGTTCAGACCCCATAATATAGTTAGGATTCAGCATCCTGACTACAACCGTAGGCAAAAAAATAAGTAAGTTATAGAATCTCCTTTTACCCTGATAGCTCATTTCTTCCTTCCTATGTATATAAAGAAAAAATGTCATTAGTATCATCAATCAGCAGTTATTAAGTACCTATTTTTATGCTAGATCCTAAAGATACAGTGAACTATAAAACATTGCCTCTTTCTTCCTTCACGAGCATATGAGAGATATCACCCAAACTTCTAACTTCTTGCCTGAGGTGGCAGAGTACAACCTAGAAAACGTAACTAGTATTTCGAAAAATGTGTGTGCTAGATCAAAAATATGAGATGATTAATCCTCTGAATAAATAATTTACCACATTTTCACTAACTTCAACACTTCAAGGATATGGCATGCTTGGCATGGAAAATTTACCAACATTAATTTCCAATTGATAGTGTAGGCCTCATCCAGCATTAAAATATATTGTCTCTCTAATTTTTGTATTTTTGTTTTTCTGTCTGTCATTCTAAAAGGGCTAGAATCAGTGTGCCCTACAAAACAAAGCATCTTGTTAAGTCTTATCTTCAGTTACCCAAACACATCAATTTGGTCTCAGAGAGGAGACCAAATGAAAGAGCTCTGAAATAACTGTAATTGTGAAAGTGTATAATTTTATAGCCTTAAACACCTGCATACATTTTATTTTGACACAGCAAATCTGGACTGAATAGATGACTTACTCTGCTACTCAGGGACCCCCAACTTAGTATTTGGTGCCATCTCTTTTACCCTCACTAATTTCAAGAACCATCCTAAGACAGCTCTCATGCTTTCATTGATTTTTCCGATTAATATAATTAGTCAATGCCTGATGTTGAACATCCTTTCCTGTATCTTTATTGGAGAAACTTGGTGACAGATTTGTATTCAACTTTCCTTTCTCACAGAAGGCAATTATTTTTAACCCAAATGTGAAAAAAATAAAAAGATAGTGGGTTTTAAAAGCATCCTAAATTTCCCTAATACTTTATAATCAATGTAGCTGTGATAGCTGAACACATGTTGATCACTTCTCATTATGACTATTTTAGCAGGTGTGCCTATTATTACTTCTGCAGAATCAACTTTTCTGAAGCCCCTTGCAGTCAAGCCTCCTCCAGGTGGGATTAAAGACAAGACTATGCCTTGCTCTTCCAGCATTGCTTTGGATTTGAATAATCCAAACAAGTATTGCAAACTCTGCTCTGCTTCTTTTAATAGTCCATTAATGGCCCAACAACATTACGTTGGGACAAAACACAAAAGAAATGAAGCTAGAAAGAAATATGTAGACAAGATAAGAGAGAAACCTCTTCTAGCAAAATCAGATGCAAATGGTAAACAGTAAAAATATCACAAAAATTTCATAGGAAGTTTGTATTTTTAAACACAAACTACTGGCTTATGTAGATACAAGTTTACTCTTATTGAGTAGGAGGCTGATAGTACTCATGGGATCATATATTTTTAGGTAAGTAAGGACTTAGAGTCTATCTAGTTCTGTCTGTTGATTTTCTAGAAAATGAGACCCAGAAAGTTTTAAATGACCCTTATTAATTACAGAATCAAATATAGGTATTTTCATGGTTCCTTGTTATATCATAAGTACATAAGGAAGTATTTTAAATTAGTATTGTGTGGTTTTACCATTTATTCACTAAGTATGTTTTAAGTGTCTCTTGGGAATACAAATGAGGATGGATAAACTATTTTCTCAGAGTAAGTGTATAAACTAGTTAGTAGGTAATATTTCATTGCAAGTGGCTACAGACATGGATTTATGTATGTATTTATGGAGGAGTGAAACATCATGGTTCAAAAATCTTTTTAGAGGAAATGCATGATTTAGATTGGTAGGAGTGGGAAGGACAGAGGATGAGCAAAGGTGCTAAGAAAGAGTGTCAGGAATTCAGGCACAAATAAAAATTTTGATCCTGACTGGAGTGATCTACTTGCTCTTCTAACCTTTTTTTTTTTTTCATTTTACCCCCATAGGCACCTTCTCATTATTAGTATATTTTATTCCCTTTTCATATTCTTTCTTCCACCTACGTCTTTCCCTCCACTCACTCTTATTTTTTAAGTCTTTCCTTACTAGACCTTTTCTGCTTCATGTGAAAATGTTCATTACTTCTTTCTTCTTAAAGCTCTATTCTTTTGTCATATGTAACTCCTTATGCTCTGGTTCTTCTCCTGTGATTCTACTTCTTTTCTGTTTTTTTTTTTTTGGGGGGGGGGGCTCTTTTTTTAAAAAAAAAAATCCATTACCTAAATGTAGATATTCCCATGGTTCTGTTCTTGCCCTTACTCTACAAACATGACCTAATCTACCCTCTGATTTTGTCTCTCATTTGTATGCTTATAATTTTTCTGTCAAGCTTTAGACTCATAGATCCACATGGTAGCTGTTACTTCCACTGGATACCTTATAGCTATTTCAAATCCACCAAGTCATTCAAACTAGAAACCTGTAATTAACTGGGAACCCCCCACACTACCTTATTCACTTTCTATATCGAATGAAGCACTAAACCATGACTGTTTTACCTCCAAAATATTACTTTTTCCTTATCTTCAGCCTGTTCTTCCCACACTAATTCAGACCCTCAACATCTTTCTTAGAGCTTTCTACTCAAAGTATGGTTTGTGGACATATTCATTGGCATCACTTGAGAGCTTGTTAGAAAAAAAAAGAATTTCAGGCCTCACTTCAGACCTACTGAATCAAAATATGCATTTTAACAAGATCCCCAGGTGATTTGTATACACGATAAATTTTGAGAAGCATTGTTCTAGAATATTGCTATAACCTCCCAACCACTGTCCCTGCTGTCATTTTTGTCTGTCCAAATATGTCCTCAATTTAACCACTAGAATATTTCACCTAAAGTGCACATTTTTCCATGTCATTCCCTTGCTTAAAAATTCTTAATTGTTTCTCTGTTTTCTAAGGATAAAATCTAAGCTTCATAGCTCTTTACCATGTTGTCCCTGCCTACCTTCTCAAGGCTTATCCTCTACTACTTCCTGCCATGATCTGCGTGGGTCAGAACCTACAAACTCTCTAAGGTTTCCAGAAATCATTACCCTGTTTATTGTCTCTATGACCTTGTTCATGTTGCCTTTCCCTGGAACATCTCCATGTCCCTCTTGTCTTGGCTAACTTCCACCCATTTTTGCGTATCTAGTTATCCATGTATCTTTAGCTCCCATTAGAATGTAAGGTATTTGAGGGAAGGGACTTCACTTAACTAATTTCTATTTCCAGTGGCAGAGTATGTCTACCTCAATAGAGATTAGTCTAATATATGAACCAATGAACTATTTAATTTTTAAAATTTCTTATTAAGGTATTACAAATGTGTCTTTATCCCCCCATTGTCCCCTCATCCCCGCCCCAGTCTTGTCCTCACCCTCACCCCCTGTTGTCTGCTATTTATTTTTATATATTGAGTGTTAACTCTGTGTTTATACTACTTAAGTTTCTTAATGTGATTCAAATTCTCTCCCAAAGTTACACAAAGATCTGTGTTTTTATGTAGGATTTTAAAGAATTTTTATTTAGGCAAGTGTAGAAATAGAAGTCATAGGTCTTCTGAAAGTAGTAGATGTTTAGAGAAATCACAAACTTCCACTTAGTAGAGGTTTTTTATTTTTTTATTTTTATTTTTTGTATTGTTGGGCTGAGGGTATCTGAAATAAGTGACTTCTAGTTTAATGGCATTAGGTAAAATTGGAACCGAGTCAGCTATGAGAAGTGTGTGTACCTTGAAGGGGGGTCATTTTAGTACTCTGAGATCTCAGGGTTATTAGAATAAGAGAAAAAGGTTTGGATAATATTTTCATCTGCCTGGGAAAGGGTTGCTGATCATCAGCAGAATTTAATCCAACCACTGAAGTCATTTTATACTAGCTTCTAAAGCTAGAGCCCAAAGAAGAGATTATCAACCTTGCCTTGACTATTCCATTTTTTTAGGACAGTAATGATTTGAGGATCAAAAAGTAGCTGGAGAATTTAATTTAGCAAATGAGAATTTCAAAGAACAGTAACAGCAGAAGCCTACATTATATATGAGCAAGTGGTAAGACAAAAAGTGTTTAACATGTGCCTCCTTAAATATTTCACTCTCCAACCATTTTCTCCCTTCTTACTCTCTTTGCCTTCTTTTCCATTGGCTATTGTTTATATTTTTCCACTATATCTAATCTCCCTCTTTATTCATCATTCTCACTGTTTCTTCATGTTCCTTATCCAGCCCAGATCTTATTAGCACAGGAATGGCTACCATAACAATATGGAACTAAAGTATGTATGTATTATTTATTTATTTGTTTTGCATATCTTACTAATTTCTAGCCCCATTATTGCACATAAATGTCTCATTTCCACCTGTAACTCAACATATCTTACATTGAAATAATAATCTCCACTAAAACCAATTTGAATTTCCCAAGTTTTCTCTCTTTGTCAGTGGTGCCACTATTTGTCACCAACACTTGAGTCTTTGAGGGCTTTGATTACTTAATTCCCTTTATCCTGTCCATCAGTCAGTCTT